ATGAACTTTGCTCCTACAGTTCATCTGCTGAAGCTTTTACATTTGGGTGGAAATCAAATAAAAACCAAAACAGTCACAAACATCAGACATGCTAACACTGTAACATTATTTGATGGAGCCCACTGAGACTGAACCACCATCACGAGTCTGACCTTTTGACCTTTGACCTGGATCTACAGCACTGACCTCTGACAGTGAGCATCACTTTTTTCTTCAGCAGGATGTTTCCATCCCTGCTGTAGACGGTGCAAGTGTAGATGTCTTCATCTGTGGGGTATTTCAGGGTCAGACTGAGGTCTCCAGGTAAGGTTCTCTTCATCTTTGTTAGGCCTTGATAATTCTTGTCCTGTTCTTCAAGCTGGTCAGAGCCGTTCTCACACACGTGGATCTTCCTGTTGTTTGTGTCCTTCCACTCCACTTTAGCATCTTTAGGCAAGCAAACTGTAGTTTTGCAGATAAGCTGGACAGACTCCACCCCTGAATCCACCTCCACCTTGTAAACTGAGAGGACCACAGTACAACACGAGTTAATAGTTAATATTGATCTTCTCATAGCCTCCTCACAGTAAATCTATTCCTGTGCATCTATTCCTGTGCTTCTTCAACTTAATTCAGCATCCGATTCCATGGTAAAATTGTCATTGCCAAGCAGATGATAGATAGATTTAGTGATGATGAAAGATGACACCAATCAGTTATTTAAACTAGAGGCTTTTTCTAAAGGCAGGTCTGGATGAATGGATTTTCTCCTCCTACCTCCAGACAAAGCTGATGGTATTGTAATTGACTTTAAAAACCTCAGGAACATGGTGATTGATCAACCATCTGCATTATTGGTGGTGTGGTAGGAGACACTCACCTGAAATGAAATACTGATGGAAATGACATAAAAGACCTCCAGAAACCACAAGAAGAACCAGGAGAACCAGAAGAGCTTTGGCCCAGGATGGAAACCATTCTGTGGAGAAACACAAGGAACAACATGACCTCCACCTTGCTATCCTCCGCGAATCGCTGCCTTATCGTGGTGCAGGGATTTGTGTGTCTCAGGGATCCCAGGGGCTATTTGTCCGGGCGTGTTTGACCCCTAGCAGGGTCTCCCATGGGAAGTTCCTGGGTTAGGGACCAGTTGAAGAGATATTCAGAAGACCTTTATGAGGAAACCATTGAGGCAATAGTTAAACTAGCCAAAGATAGGGTTACCAGGGCCCTGCCTTGGAGCCAGGACCGGGGAGGGTGTCCAAGGGCGAGCATCTGCCCATGCCCCCTTCTCAGGCTGTGCCCGGCTGGACCCCATGGAGGTCCAGCCTGAAGAGGGGACATGGGCCCATCCTCCTGCAGGCCCACCACCCACAGGAGGTGTTGTAGGGGTTGGTTGCATTGTGTGTCATGTGGCAGCCAGAAACAGAGGCCCTGGTGGACTCATCCCCGGCTGCCAAGACTGACAATTGGGACATGGAATGTCACCTTTCTGGTGGGGAAGGAGCCTGAGTTAGTGCATGATGTTGAGAGGTACCGGCTAGATATAGTCAGGCTCACCTTGACGCATGGCTGGGGGTCTGGAACCAGTGTCCTGGAGAGGGTCTGGACTCTGTCTCAGTCTGGAGTTGCACCCGGTGAAAGGCGGCAGGCTGGGGTGGGTATTCTAGTATCCCCACGGCTTGCTGCTTGTACGTTGTGGTCTTCCCAGTGCATGAAAGGGTTTGTTCCCTGCGCCTTAGGGTTGGGCAATGGGTCCTGACTGTCATCTGCGCTTATGCGCCGAGTGGCAACCCAGCCTTCTTAGAGTCCCTGGGTGGGGTGCTGGAGGGTGCCCTGCCTGGAGACTCAGTTGTCTTACTGGGAAATTTCAATGTACCTTTGGGCAACGACAGTGAGACCTTGAGGGGCGTGATTGGGAGGAATGGGCTCCCTGATCTGAACCAGAGTGGTGCTTTGTTATTGGACTTCTGTGCAAACCACAGTTTAGCCATTGCGAACACCATGCTCTAGGCTGCAGGTCGATGAATGATTTTGTAATCATATCAGCAGACCTG